AGATGACTTTCAGTCAGCTTTACCTGTTTATTCTGGTTTAGCATCTACATACGGCTCATACAGAGAAGCCAGCTGACTTGGCAAGGCTAAGCAAAACTTTGATGTGTGAAACCATTCCTTTACTGGCTGTTTTATTTGCAGTTCCTTTCCTAATCATTCCAAACAGGACATTTCCTTTTGGATGGTTGAAATTTTTATTCAGTTGTTCACTGTGATTCCAAGATCCCTTTCCTAATCACTCACTGCCAACTCTGATCCATTAATATATATGTGAAGTTGAAGCTCTTTTGGGCCACTTGGTACTGTATTTGCTTATACCAAATTGTACTTATTCTAAGCCCCGTTCTTCCAGCTGAAGGGATCATTTGGGAACTCTCTAGTTCGTTGAATATTTTGAGATCCAGCTGAAGCAACCACCTCACTAGTAGGACCAGCTCCACCATAAAGTTCCATCTTTCATGATTACATTTTTTAAAAAACATTGGCTTACATAGTGGGATCCAGCAGAGGCATCCATGGGGGGCATCAAAAATAAGCAAATGATTAAATCAGCACTCCACCATTGCAATGCAAGCTCTGGCCCTTTTTGTATGTGAGTTGTGACATCACACACACATATATGAAAGAAGCAGAGTCTGTGTTGTGGTGGTGCAATGCTGCAATGTTTATTTTGACCAAAGCACCAGCTTCTGTGGACACCTCTGAGCTCCAATACTTATTGGATGGTCTTTGGAGAAGCTACAGTATGCTTCTGTGCATCCAGGAACATATAGGGCTGACCTTTCTACTCATTGGCTGCCTTGCTGCCTCTTTTGGCATGTATGGGCCTTTGAGTCATATGTACTAGGGTGAGGCACCGGCTCTACTAAATCCAGGATGGGCAAACTGTGGGCTCCAGGTTTTTGTGAAGTAAACTCTCAGCATGCTTTTCCACTAGCCATTCTGTCTCGAGCTGCTTGAGTTGCAGTTCAGCAAGGCTGCAACTGACTGACTGTCTCCATTAAGCTGGAGGGCCAGCCCAAAGGGAATCCAAGAGTTCCCTTGACATGTCCGAGTTGACTCATCTTTAACCCAGGAAGGAAACTTACTTCAGGTATTCCACTCCATCGGGAGTTGCAGGTACATTGAACCGTTTCATGTACTCATGCATGTCTGGAAAGCTTTGCTTGAAATAATCTTCCGCACTGCTTTCTCGCACAGTTCCAAAGCGAAACCCTTGGGAAGGGTGATGCAGCTGAGGAGAAATGCCAAAACATTTTAAAAACAAAACAAAACCATGAAGAATTTGTATGGCTTAGTTCCTTAAATGTTGGAGAGCTTTGTCCTTTCCAGGCCTGTACATGGATGAGAGTTACGTATCAGTCCTTAGAGAATTACATGATTACATATTTGTTTGTTGGGTTTATATCCCACCTTTCATACAATAGCTCATGGTGGCATACATGGCATTCCCTCCTCCTATTTTTACCTGGAGCAACAACCCTGTGCGGTAGGTTGGACTGAGAGAAAGTGACTGGCTTAAAGCCACCATGAGGATGGACTAGAACCTGGGCCTCCCTAGGGCCACTCCAACATCTTAACTATTCTATCACACTACAGCAGTATTGTCCAAACTTGGCCACTTTAAGATGAGTGGACTTCAACT